GAGATCTGCTGAGATCTGTTATGCACCCTCTGTTTGAGACATAATACTAGATAAAATAATGATGGATCAAAGTGGTTGTGTTTATAGCTTATGGCTTACTGGGATAGTTTTAAATACAGTTTTCATTTCTGAGTTTTCAAGAGCATTAATTGGCTGTTTAGCTCAATATTTGAAATCAGTTATTTGCCTTTTTTTGCCTTATTCTTTTGTTCTATGTCCCAGTTTAAAAAAAAAAAAAAAAAAATCTAAAAAATCTGGTGTAGAACCACCACTGTCCAACATTGATTTTTAAATTGCTACGTTTAGACACTAATTGGAGGAGGAATGATGCCATGGTCACATTTACTGTTATACTAGTGTTCACAACTTGGCTGTAGGTTTTATAAAAATGCTATGATTTAGAAATGTACATTTTTGTTTTATTTAAATATTAAACAGTTTAAAGAGTTGGGTGAGTACCAGACCTCTAAAATAAAGAGGTTAAATCAACTAAATTAAAACAAATGAGGACAAACGAGGTAAGACTTAGGCTGGGTAGTCCAAATATCAACATTATTTATATTCTCAACAGAAAAATCAACTACAGTATTTTGATGGGAGGTGAACTTGCAGCAGTCTTCAAGGTTGCCTCTACAAATTGTTCAAAGGGCTTTGAAATTTTCTGTTGTAGCTTATTAAGCTGCTATTATGTTTTATTGCGAAAATAGTTTTTTATAGTTGTATGCAGTCTAACCCCCAGATCCTACATCCTCTGTAACCCCCTCTGCCCTGCTCAGCATTTCCGCACTCATATAAATTAATGGCTTTATTTCAACAGCTGTCAGGTCAACAGGTTGAGACTTCCCCAGCTGTCACAGCCCTTTACTGTGGCCTAGCAACCGTCACAATTGACTCACAAAGCAGGCAAAGAATGAATGACAAACCTCACTGTTTTGTTTGATTACATTTTTGAGGAGCAGCAGTAGTGTTGCTAAAGATATCACATTTGTAGTCCGAAAAAGATATGTAAATCTGTGCTTAAATGTCAGCCAAACCCATCTGCACAGGGACAGATAAAACCATTCGATAAACCCATCATCACATGCGACATATCTGACTAACATTTTTAAATTAACTGTTTTAATTTCATATCAAAATATCAATATATATTAGAATACTGTACATAAAATGGCCTTTTTCTTTGGGAATATGTGAAAATGTAGAATATATGAAAAAGTTGCAGGTCTCGAACTGGCCGGATTCCAATGGAGTGGAGAGGAGCAAAATATATCTTTGCTCTGTATTTTGGCGGTGAAAGATGGAGGATATGTACGTGGACTGTGTTATTTGAAAGCGTTACGGTCAATTTGGATAAGTTGTTATTGAATAGATGACTGCTCAAGTGCTCGGCCAGACATATACGTTAACAGGGAGGATGTGGAATTTGGGGGTTAGTTTATCAAAACACCTTTTGGGAAATACCCACACATTTGGTGAAAAAATAAATGTTTGGTTTGCAAACATGTTCTGTTTTCTGTTTAATTTTATTTAATAATTGAACTGGTCGTGTTTTTTTTGTTTTACTGGTTTGTTCTTCTCAACCAAGAACATTTAGTGTACACTGCTTATAGAAAACCAGTAAAGCTGTGGTGTTAAACAAAGGCAGGGAAGTATAGGAGAAAATGAGGGATGTTGTATAATATTTACTTCTCTCAACAGGCAGCGGCCTGAAGTTTGCTTTATTCTTTGTGGTTTGTTTAACTGAGTAGTTTGAACATGATTGTTAGATAAATATTCAGAACTGATGAGTTTTTCTTTGCATCATAAAAAATGGAGTGGAGTGCATTCAACATGTTACCACAGGACTTTGACCGTTTCAAGTCCTCTCTTGTAGATCCTGTGTTTATTTAGAGTTAATCCACGATTAAGACCTTGGCTTCCATTTATTTCTACACATTGCGTGTATGTCAGAGCAAAACTAAAACGCACTCCAAAACAGGTTGAAGTACTAGAATTGGACTCATTTTCCGAGATGGAGGAGGTATGAACCATGAAGAGATTTGTCATCGGCATGTTTATTTAGATAAAACTAGAACATCTTTTGAACAAAAGAAGCTGGGAAAACGGCTTTTGGCTAAACCTAAAAGCAGAAAAGGCATAGGTTGATAGACCTAATATCTGCCCCCGCCCCAGCATCTTTCCTTTAATACAGAACTGGGGAAACGATTACCATACCATTGAGATTGTTGCAAGATTTTTTTTAATCCAAACTGTCGTACCAATGAAATGTGACAGGAATGGTGTCAACCGGAAGTGGAAGGCTGAAGTAAAAGAAAGGTAGTTTCAGCTGGAATATCCTCTGTTTCTTTTTTTTTTTAAACAAGAAAAAAGGCACAATTTGTGTCTTTGTTGATGGGAAAGTTTTCGGCACATTCTTCTCCCTGGATTTTTCTATTTTATTTTTTTTTGTAAACTCTGCAGCAGTAGCAGCTGTGACGTATTGCATTGTTTTGTTTCATAACTACTGGTGATTAGTTAAGGCTCCACATGGGAGGCAGGTGCCACTTGTTAGTTTACCCAATCAGTTCGAAGTATTCTACTGCATCTCCCTTTTGCAACCACTTTCAACAGGAGCCTTTCCAGATGGATACCTTTTAGAATTCAAGATAAACTACAAGTTTCAATCTGGTTTATGCCTGTTTAGGGAAGAAACTAAGGCGTTAGTGAGCAATTGCTACTCTCCATTTAATGCTGCAGGTCAGTCAGTCACCATCACCTGATGGGGTCATAAGGCCAGTATTTGTTAATGTAAGATTATGTATTTTTAAATTCATAAATATCATTATATTATGTACATGACATTGATCTGTAAAGAGTGAAATGTTATTATATTCATTGGAATATAATAAAATGACGGAAGATGACCCTACCCAGTCTTAAGTCTTACAGTTCCAGTTAGTCTGTGCGTTTGTTTTGCCCCTGAAAAACAGCTTTGAACATTTCTAATTTGGCTTATGAACTTGTCATCATGTTTAATTGCGGGGATTGTATTTCAGTTGTATGCGGTTTTAGGTCACAACACGGCCGTTTACATGAACAGTATGCCAACAAATCTCTAGTTTGGCCTCGAACTTGTCCAAATTACCGTATTTTCACGACTATAAGGCGCACATAAACGTCTTTTTTTTTTTTCACTCAAAATGTGCGGTGCGCCCTTTGGTGTGGTGCGCCCTACAGTATGTGTGTTGTAACTGCGACTTTTGAGACCACCATGCAGAACTCATCATCTCCTCAATGAGGAGATGATGAAAGAGTGGCTGAGGGAGGTGAATGTAAGGAGACCAGGTGGTTTTTTTCCACTCCACACCATCTCTAGTAATCTGTGACTCCATATGTGCCCATCTCACAGCTGATGTGAAAAACATGGTGAAACAAATGAATGCTGTGCTTGCTGTTATTCAACCAATTGACATCGGTGTGAAACGGACCCAGCAGGTGCAGCAGAAGCAGCGAGTTTACATGCAAAGTCAATGGTTGACGCGCGTATATGGGCAGCAAAAGGTCCCGCAGCGCGTTTCGAGCAGC